CGACCCACACTCAGGAGGAATTAGTGTCGCGGACACAGAGAGTAGTTACAGCAAAACGGGGAGTTTATTAAAGGAGAGAAAAGGAAAAGTAGAGCTCCCAAGAAGGGAGGGGTCCTGGAAAATGGGTTGTCAAAGAAGAACTGTGGTGAGTGGTTTTTATTTGGGTCAGAAAGGGATTTGTTCAGACTTGTTCTAGGTGGGACTTGTGCACACATTCCCTTCCTTCCTGATGGGGGAGGATCATATGCTTGGATGGGTCCAATTATTTTCCAATTTTGGAGTGGGTACCAAGATCAGGAGATTTTTTAAAAAGAATTATTTACTTATTTAATTCCATTTGTTATTATTATTATTATTTAAATTTAACCAGAGAGAGAGATAGGCAGAGATAGAGAGAAAGGGAAAGTGAGAAAGCAAGGGAAAACAAGAAAGCAAGCTGCCAGGTCAGAGCTCAAACCACAGTCGGCCATGTGGGACTCTAACACCCCTAACCACCACACCAAGTGCAGTCCCCAGTAGATTCTTTGTCTAGAAACTTTGGGCCATGAAAATCATTATCTTATCTTCTCCCTGGAATGTGGTGGGGCATGGAAAAAGCCTTTGTTCTAGGTCTAGGTCACGCTGCCTATGTCAATCACTGAGCCACCACTGCCTCCATCTCAAAACTTAGCCATTTTGATTTCTATTTTGGGCCCATACCCTAACTATATTTTTAAGAATGCCTGTCTCCTACCTTACTATTGTGTAATGCTAGATACATCTTGGAAAAACAAAGTACATTTATGTATGGATGGGTATATGTGTATGTATGTTTCTGTGTAACCTCAATTAGATATATGCATTTCCAATGTGGCATAGCGTTTTTTTCTTTTATCTTTTTTTCCTGACTGATAGTCACATATCCAGTACCACAGTCATGGTACAGAAAAGTTCTACTAATTCCAAAAATTTCCTCATCCTGTCCCTTCCTAGTCAACTCCTCCTCCAATTCCCAACCATTGGCAACCACCGATCTCTTCTCTATCCTTAGTTTTGCTTTTTCCATAATGTCATACATGTGGAATCGTGTAGTGTACAGCCTCTTGGGTCTTGTTTTCTTGAATTAGCAAAATATATGGTTGATCCTTCTATGTTGCTGTGCATTGCAATCATTTGCATTGCATCTTTCCCATTGTTGAGTAGTATGATAGCACACATATGTATCGCAGATTGTTCATTCACTGGTTTAAAGACATTTTGGTTGTTCCCAGATTGGGGTAAATGTGACCAGAGCTGCTATAAATATTCACACGCATAAAAGGAAAGGACTAGTATTCTATTTTATGGATACTCTATTTCATAACCAATCTCCTATTGGGCAGCTAAATAGTGACTGATTTCTCCTTTTATGAACAGCCTCTCTGCAGGCCTTTTTATGACCAGCCTCTCTGCAGGCTTGCTAGGCACTTTAGATAGTTTGCCAAATGACTTCTAGAACGTGTCCAGTGCTTCTGGAAGCATTGTTTCAGAATGTTTTTCCATCATGGAGCCTGCTGTCTCCTCACATAGCAAAACTCAACTCCTCAGAACTTGAAAGACTTGTCTCATCCTGCCCGTTAGTCATGCAGCCGGAGTTGGACTAGGTTCCAGAAATCCCTCAGCCTCCCCTCACCCCACCCCCA